ATCTAGAAATAGAAATACTACCTGACCCAGCAATCCCATTACTGGGTATATACCCAAAGGATTATAAATCATTCTATTATACAGACATATTCACATGTATGTTTACTGCAGCACTGTTTACAATAGCAAAGACTTGGAACCAACCCAGTTGCCCATCAGTGATAGACTGGATAAAGAAAATGTGGCACATATATGCCATGGATTACTATGCAGCCATAAAAAAGGATGAGTTCATGTCCTTTGGAGGGACATGGATGAAGCTGGAAACCATCATTCTCAGAAAACTTATACAAGAAGAGAAAACCAAGTGCTGCATGTTCTCATTCATAAGTGGGTGTTGAATAATGAGAACACATGGACACAGGGAGGAAACATCACACACTGGAGTCTGTTGGCAGGTGGGAAGCGAGGGGAGGGATAGCAGGGGTTGGGGAGATTGGGGAGGGATAACATTAAGAGAAATACCTAATGTAGGTGATGGGGGTATGGAGGCAGCAAAGCACCATGGTATGTGTATACCTATGTAACAATCCTACAAGATCTGCTCGTGTACCCCAGAACTTAAAGTGTCATTCATATATATATATGAATGACAATTAAATGAGGTCATTTACCTAGAAATGAAAAACTGGAAATGTCCTGCAACTTATCAAACCCAACCCCTGTATTTTGTAGAAGATAAAACTGAGGCCCAGAAAGGCAAGATGAGGAGCCCTTTCAACCACCTCAGGCTAGCAAGAGGCTTCTCAAACTTAGTTGTTCCCCAAGGTGGTTGTGATACATTCCTTCAGAAAACATACTGTTGAGAGAGACCCAGCCCAACTTCGGTGATGGCCTTGAAGCATAATTAGTATTAGATGGTTCTTGAGTTGTTCATAGTTCCCTAGAATATTCTTCCTTATCTATTCAAGATATTTTTTCTAACTGTCCATTTAATTTGCTGAGAATTGTCATATCCCGATTGGTTTTCTTCACTTTAGGCTGGTAACATGGGTGATCTTAAATAAGAGTCAAGTCCCTTTAGTTTCTGCACCTATAAAATAAAACTATAACCACCACTACATACTCCTACCCAAAATAAATTAAATATAAGAAACTCAGCAGTGCTACAGAGAACTTTGGAAATCAGAAGTTCCAAATGAGAATATTAAAACTGCTGTCCCATTAGGAGCAAAGGGAAGTCATTGTGGAATAAGGCATTCTTGATCATCCCTAGACACATCTGGTCTTAAACATATCTCCTCAGAATTACCAAGTCCTTAACGCAAATAAAATTCAGCATACACCTGGCTAAGAACTCCACTCTCCACTCATCTTCACATTTACCCTGACTTACCTCCAAGAGTTTACCCAAGAAAATCTTTCATCTCTGACAAATACATTCCATAAAATTACATTTGTATCCTATTTTGGTCTGTGTTTGCACTGGCTGTATACATAATTTTCTCTTTCAGAACTGAACCAGATGTTAAATTCTTGCAGAACACAAACTTCTTATTCTTGTATGTCTGTCTTTTTATTTCTCTATCTTGCCCTCTTTTATCTCATGAGTGAGTGCAGGGTTTGTTTGAGAAGACTGGAAAATATTAATTAAATAAAGAGAAAGGTACTTACCATGGCCTGAAGATTCCAGAAGGGAGAGGAAACAAAGTGTAAATAATTAGATACATGAAAAGTAGGAAAAGAGCATAACAATGTTAAATTAGCTTAACAGTTTACAATTATTTCCACACAGTAACAACAGAAATAAGAGCTAAATGTACTGACACGTTATATTTTCCAGTATAAAATCTTTTCAGTAGGGATCATACTTTAAAACTAAAGTGGTGGCATTCAGATGAAGGCTTTCTTAGCAAAATTAAAAATTACTGCATAAAAAATTGTGTTCATTGTTGCCAACAGAAAATTTACTTTTTTATGGGAGAAAATTAAGAATACGCCTACAAAATGTGAAAACATTTTGGATGATAGAAGAGACGTTTTTTCACGATGATTTTGTTTTTACAACCTAATGCAGGCTATGGTCAATTATTCACATTTCTCAAGGTGGTTCCAGCATATTTCAATATAGGAAACAGATTTATTCAGAGTCATGATCAGAAGTAATAATGATGTTAATGACATGAAAACCTTGGTTTTCTTTAGATAGATTAGTTTATTAATTTAGCTGGAAGTGACTTTAACATAATAAAATAAATAGTTGATTAATGTTATCTACTTTCTTTATAAAGATTTCAGGTCCACTGAGTTAAGGTGAAGAAGCTTAAATAAAGCCTCAAGTTTGTGAATCAAACTTCTCTCATTGAAAACACTGAACACATCAAAGTCTATTCTCTGGCTTGACATGCTGTGTGATTTCTTTTTGCTCCAGTCATAGGGTTATATTAACTTAATTCTAATTTCCACTTATATCAAAAGCTATCAAAAGGTTTGAGTTATTTCCTCCATTTAATAGATTTTAAAGAAATAATAATAAATATAACAGCAAGTAGCATCTGGCCTCATATACTTTTATTCTATGAAATATTTACAGGCTAGGCAGTAAATGAGAAGGACATTACATTTTAGTAAACGAAAAAAACCACACATGCAGTCAAAGAGAATTAAGCAGTTGTAACTTACCACATCTCGGACAATAGGCAAAGTTTTTTTCCTGCGGAGATCTGGCATGCTGTCAATACCATAAAGTCCACCTCCAGCCCTGAAAGAGAAAATAAAACCACTGAGTTCAATGGGTAAAATGACTTTTTATAAGAAAAATATCCAATGTCCATGGTATAAAGTCTGAAAAAAAATGACATGAATACCACAGTTTTCAAAGAATTCACAAAGCTGTGAAGATACAGGACTCTAGGACTTCGTTGAGCGAGGAAAAAAGACTCTAGCTACCACAACTGCTCACCACTCAGCTTCTTGGATAGTTGAAATTTTAAGATAGGCAAGGCCTGGTTGGACACACCGTTTTCTGTTAGTATCACGGAGAGAAGAATCAAAATGTAAGAACCATGGAACATCATACCTCCAGGAGAAGGCAGAACCAAACCAATTTTGGTGCAAGTTTGGTTTGGCTGTGGTGCTAAAGAAATTACCTTTGTTATAAAAATGCCAGTTATTATGTGCTTCCACGTCACAAATTATACTCGAGAATAACATCTCAAGGAGCCATTCAAAAATATTAGTAATTATCCTTATGCCAGAAGTTCTGTTATCTGAATTCATCCTACAGGTAAATGCACAGAATTAAAATAAGTAGTTCTAGGAGGATGTTCATTGCTTTTTTTTTAAATAACAGCAAGAAAAGCTAGGTTATTTACATGTTCATCAGTAGTATATTTATTAGGCCAGGCATGGTGGTTCATGCCTGTATCCCAGCACTTTGAGAAGCCTGCAGCTGGTGGATCACAAGTCAGGCATTTCAGACCAGCCTGGCCAACACAGTGAAACTCTGTCTCTACTAAAAATACAAAAACTTAACTGGGCATGGTGGTGGGTGCCTGTAATCCCAGCTACTCAGGAGGCTGAGGCAGAAGAATCATTTGAACGCAGGAGGCAGCAGTTGCAGTTAGCCTACATCACACCACTGCACACCAGCCCCAGTGACAATGCAAGACTCTGTCCCCCAAAAAACATACAAACATAGTCTATTGATTAAATAAATCAATGGGAAGAATAATTAAAGTGAAATAGGTAAATATATGTATGTACACATAAAAAATACTCATGAGATGTTAAGTAAAAAATCAAGTTTGCATATCAGTAAGTTTAGTACACTCCCGTGTGTGTGTGTCTGCGTGTGCATGTGCATGTGTGGGCGTGTGTGTGTATGAAAACACTGAAAATATCTAGAAGAATAATCATGAAATTGATAAATGTAGTTACCTCTGTGGAGTCAGACAGGGTGAGAGGAAGAGAAAACTCACTGTTATAAACCTGGTAGTATTCAATTTTTCTCATAAGCATGTATCATTTTGCAACTAAAATAATTTTCCAAGAGGTATTAATCTTTGCTTCTCTAGAATGAGTTTGATACATTGAATTTGACTTTTTATTGTATTAAATCCAGTTATGTTATACAACTAACAAGATGCTACCATTACTGATAATAGCTTCTCCTTATGCTTTCTTGAACTACAAAACCCCTTGCTGATCTCCCACCCAGGATCAGCTTATTCACCATGAACAACCGAGTTCATGTCCTTGGGTGCTAGCTGAGCATCTGTGTCACTGCCCAATTGGTCTAAAAAGGCCAATTATAGATTAAAAGCAGTTTATAGTCCAGTTTTCCACCAGCAAAGAGATGGCCTCTAGGATGTTGCTGCTTAGCTTAATATAAGTAAATTTAGTCATGTTGGATTTTTCTTAGTAGTCACGATCCTAACTCCAACACTTCTTCAGGCATCCACTACTACTAACATGGTAGTCTTGAACAAGTCACTAAATGTGTCATACAATTCATGTCAATAGAAATAAAAACAAAGTAGTAATAAAGATAAAATAAATTAATAAATACATAGTAATTATGCCATGATATATGCTTGGTAGTGATGATCAAACACAGTAAGTGTGAAATATTAAAACCACTGCAAATGTGTAAGAAAGGTGTCCAGGATAAACAAATTATTTTCAGAGTCATGCATGTCAACTACATGTCATCCCTAATTTTGATCATAAAAATAAGTGTGAAGCAGAGGTCAAACAGATGAAAGAAAAGAGAGAAGAAAAGAACCAAAGAGAATGTGTTCAGGGAGAAAGATGAATTTAAGATCGTTTTCTTTATTAATTCTATGATAAAGAAGCTATCATGGTTTCCCTTATTGACCAGAATAATGCCAATTGGCACTCTCTAGGTAAAGGGCTGTGATAGTCACAGTGAGTCAAAGTTTGAGAATGTGAATCACGAGAAAGAATTATTGGTGACATACTCTTCTAAATGTCAAGAAACTGCAGAGCAGAAAAGGGAAAATAATGATAAACGTTTTTCTTTTTTTTTTTTTAGTTAAGCAATTTTTCCCTTTATTTTTGTTAAATAGCATTCCAGAAAGTGTAGTGCCAACACTCAGTAGAAAAGTTGCAATTAAGAAATGTACATTCACATTTAACATTTCAGCCCATTCACTTCTTTAAAAATAAAAATAGGACAAATTATTCAATTACTTGTCTCAATTTAACAATCTTGAAAAAGATTGGAAGGTACTCTACAGTGTTCCGTTGACATAAAAATAGACGCGTATTGATCATACAAATCTATCATGAGAAGTTACCCAGTGAGAGTGAGTTATTGTAATTCTGAATGTAGTCATCGTGTTTCTCACTTCCACAGAAGCATCCTCGGTGAGTTTTATTGTGCAAGATAATGACACCCTTGCCCACATCACTCTCTATTCCATAGAGGGACACAACCCTATCCAGCTAAACCCAGAAGGACACAGGTGCTTACACTTTTCTCAGACAGCAGAGAAAATCCCAAAGTGGGCTTTGGGCTTACCTTAAATAGGAATGGAATCTATCACTACGAGATGTTCATAAGGACATTGTTGTTTGCTCGGGGGGTGTGCAATCGGCATAAATGAGGATGGCGGAGGAAGAGGAGTGGTGACTAAAGGGAGGTGGTGAATAATAAGTGCACGAGCTACACAAAGCTCAGGCTCCACAGGCCTCTTCATGGGTCCCGGGGATGCTCTGCAGCCAGCAGGTGGATGAACTGAGGGCGGTCCCGGGTCTGTCCCTTTGTGCATGTGACGTGATTTCAAATTCAAACTAAGTTCCACACTGTTAGGAGTTTTCACGGCATGCAGTTCCAGAGTGCAAATGACTTGCATATGTACAGTTTTTACAGGGATGAAGGCAAGACCACTCCTCTCCCACACTGGGCGTGTGCCTCCTAGTGGACAGTTGTATGCAAGAGGCGGTAATGGGCTCCCTCGGGATCCCCTAATGTGGGAATGGTCCCCTGAGACTTGTGCTTCATGTGCCTGGGGCCCAGAGTTGGGTGGGGGGTTGCTGGTGGGAGGTGAGAAATAAGTTCTGGCTGCCATCAGGCCAGCTTCCCACTGTGCTCGCCAAGGAGGTGGATGCCCACAGGCGACAAACCTTTTTCTTAAGCCCCATCTTCAGAATACACACCAAGTACTCCATCAGTAACTTCTTGCTTCCCTCCTGTAATCTTTCCAAATTCCTTCCCTCTCCCTGCCAATTCATGCTTGACCCTTCCACATTCAAAAATCAAATACATGGAAAAAGGCTAAGTAAATGGGTGGTTAGAAGGATTCTTCCAGTTTCATGCACTCCAATATTAGGCTGTCATTCCAACAGTTCTTACTTTCTCCCCTCTGTGAATGGTATCGACGATGAACTAAAATGGGCATGAATAAATATTTTCCCACTGCAGTACCTATTAATCATGTTAACTGTAAATCTTTAAGTGTTTTGAAATGTTTTGACTTCTAAATACTGCAACTTTCTTAACTTTGTAAAGAAACACATTCAGTTCAGAAGATGATTGAGAAAGTGATTTATAAATTGCCAAGTGTTATATAAATGAACTGTGTATTTTCTTTTTATCAGTAATCATTATTTCTTGTATGGTTTTCTTTCCATTGAACTTAATCCAAATTTTCAGAGTAAACTCAGATCTTGAACAAATCCTACTTACCCACAAATTTGGGAATCAGTTATAAACATGTGCATTACTGGGCTTGACACTTCACTCCTAGGCTTGTCTCATCAGAGCAGAGCTATCCAATGACCTGGGACAAATATGAGCATTGCAGGATAACAAGCCCAGGTGAGAAGACGTGTATCCAAAATTCATCTCTGCCTCTTTTGAGTCTGTCATTGAATTTTACTGAATTTACATTTTATAATTTGGGAAAATACAATAAAAACATTTTCTTAACCTTCTCATATAGCCTCAAAACATAGCCTTCTCAGGTTATGTTTTTTTACACTTATATATTTTCATCATTACTACAAGACGCTTTGATAAGCCTATCCATCAAGTAATAATAGAAAATTTTATTGCAAACCATAACTTTAAAAAAAGTCTACCTTACTGACCTCACCTCAAGAACTGAGAAGCACTTGATAAATATGAAGAAGGTCTACATGAATGCAAACTATTATTATAATATTTATAGGGATGCTTCCTAACCAGGAGGGATCTTGGAGAGATTAAGTAACAAAAACTAGTAAACCGTAGAAATATTTATATATAAATATATCATTTACTTTTTAGACAAGATTTTAAGTTCATATATAATAAAATCTGGAAGAGGCCAGGTGTGGTGACTCAAGCTGTAATCCCAGCACTTTGGGAGGCTGAGGAGTGTGAATCATGAGGTCAAGAGATCAAGACTATGCTGGTCAACATGGCGAAACCCCGTCTTTACTAAAAATACAGAAAAATTAGCTGGGCACGTTGGCACGTGCCTTTAATCCCAACTACTCAGGAGGCTGAGGCAGGAGAATTGCCTGAACCTGGGATGTGGAGGTTGCGGTGAGCCGAGATCCCACCATTGCACTCCAGCCTGGATAACAAGAGCGAAACTCCATCTCAAAAAAAAAAAAATCTGGAAGAAACTATCTAGGCTTGATGAAGAAGAAGTCAGATGAAGTTATCAGAACAGACCATAGTAGATAAGTAACTCTAAAGGTAAGGTCTGATAAGAAAAGACGCAGTTTCATTTTCTGTTCTTGTGTCATATTCTCACTCATAGGCGGGTGATGAAAAATGAGAACACATGGACACAGAAAGGGGAGTACTAAACACTGGGGTCTATTGGGGGGAAAAGGGGAGGGCCAGTGGGAGGGGGAGGTGGGGAGGGATAGCCTGGGGAGAAATGCCAAATGTGGGTGAAGGGGAGAAGAAAAGCAAAGCACACTGCCATGTGTGTACCTACGCAACTGTCTTGCATTCTCTGCTCATGTACCCCAAAACCTATAATCCAATAAAAAATTAAAAAAAAAAAAGAAAAGACGCAGTTTCATTTCAGCCGTTTTTGGTTATAGTTGTTTTAAGATGTCACCTACCATATACAGAAAACTTGCTAAGGATAACAAATATTTTTGTGGTGCTTGTTAGGTGACAGATACAATGCTAACATTTATACCCAACATTTACAGAGTGCTTATTATTCTAAGCACTTTATTTATGTTAACTTATTTTATTTTTTAAAAAATCATATGAGGTATAGGTACAATTATTTCTCTTATTTTATAAAAAAGAAAATGGAGATACAGAATCCATCAAAATCATAACCAAGGTCACTATTTAGATCAGAAATGGCAGTGCCAAGACTTAAGCCCACAGTTTACGGCTCACCATGCTCCACTGCTTATCTGACTGGAATATCCTATAACACTAAGGTGAACTGAGGTCTACAATTAATATTTTATATTTAACGAAACTAATATATTACAGACAATGATTTCCAGTGAAGGATCATTTACCCCAAACTTAATGTTCTTAATAATACATAGGTATTTTGCTAAGAAGAAATAAGACACGTGTAGCAGTTGATCCAGGGATGTTGACATCATCTGGAAATGTTTTCAATATGTTTCAGGGAGAGTATTATCTTCAGATCGCAACCCTGTTTCATTATATAAAATAGCCTCAGTCTTCCCCAAATGACCTCTCACCAACTATTCAAGTGTTCTTTTTAGGAAAAAAACACAGTTTAGACCCAGGCATTACAGATGAGATAAAAAGGTGAGGATGTCAATGGAAATATTTGGAAAGTCAAGGGTCATATAAATTTGATAAAATGGATATTATTTTAAAGTACACAAAATGGATATTATTTTAAATCATGCATGTTCTAATTCAACATCTGCTCTATTACAAAATTTTTATTAACATTATTTTAATTAACATATCATGACTATATACATCTGTGGGGTACAATGTGATGTTCTGATATAGTTATGCAATGCAGGCTGATGAAATCAATCTAATTAACATACTTATCACCTCACTTACTTTTTGTAGTGAGACCTTTAAAATTTACACTCTAAGCTAACATGGTTTAAGTATTTTCACTGTTTTTCTTTTGTTTTTCAGTTCTTTCCATATGATATCAAAATGAGTTTACTGAATTTAGTGAAATCTGAGATCAGTATATTGCTTTGGACCTTGACTCAGTTAATTGACTTGTTGTAAAATAAATGCAATATACAGTATACAAATTACATGTGTTCTGTAATTTTAAGACACTTCATATTTAGATAAAGAAAATAAAAGCTGATTTTATTAAGTAGAGATTATTATTTTCACTCAAAATTGACTGATAACATATCGACAGTATACAGATTGCAAAAGAAATTTGTGAAGACACCAGGAAAATATCACATGAAAACTATAAAACAGGATATAAAAATGCACAATACTTCAAATTATCAGTGAACTGCAAATTTAAACTACAATGAAATATTACATCACAAGTGATAGAAGGGTTATCATGAAAATAATAAAAGATAAGTGTTAGTGATGACATGGAGGAAAAGGGACCTTTTCACATTGGTGGTGGGGATGTAAGTTAATACAGCCATTATGGAAGACAATGTGTAGATTCCTCAAAGAACTTAAAAACAGAACTACCATGTAATTCATTACTCCTACCAATGGGTGTATACTCAAATAAAATGAAATCAGTATGTCGAAAAAATATTTTCACTCCTATATTTAGAGCCACATTATTCACAATAGCCAGGATGTGAAACCAACCTATCAGTGGATTAATGGATAAAGAAAATGTAGTATATATACACAACAGACTACTATTCAGTCTTAAACAAAAAGTAAAGAAAGTCCTCCCATTTGTGACGATGGATGAACCTATAGGACATTATGTTAACTGAAATAAGCCAGCCACAGAAATACCAATAACACATGATCTCGATCACATGCACAACCTACAAAGTTGATTCCAGAATCAGGGGGTAGAATGGCGGTTACAAGGGGTGGATGGCAGGGAAGAGGAACTTAAAAGATACAGAAAATTTGTTACATAGGAGGAGTACCTTTAAGAGATCTATTGTAAACAAGGTGACTATGGTTCATAACAATATACTGTATTCTGGAAAAGTGCTAAGAGAATGGAAGTTAAGTATACTCACCATGTAAGTACAACAATATGAGGTAACACATATATTAATCAGCTAGGTTTTGTCATTTCACAATGTAAATATACTTCAAAATATAATGTTGCACATGATAAATATGTACAATTATTCCAGTCAATTTAAAATAATAATAAACAAATGTTACGGTGATTTTTTAAAAAAGACTATCATCAGCATTCAAGGAAATAGAGCAACATGGCTGCATAGAAGCATCTAGCAACCATTCTCCCCACAGGAACACAAAATCAAACAAACATTCACACAAGAAAGGACCAAAGACCAGGTGAGCAATCATAATACTTGGTTTTGACTCATATCACTAACAAAGGCACTGGAGAGGGTAGGAATGACAGCATAGAATTACTGATGCCACCCCTCTCCTATTCCTTGGCAGTGACCACATGGCATGGAAAAAGAATCTGAGTGCTTGGGAGAGTGAGAGTGCAGCAACTGTGGGACTCTGCATTGGAACATTGGAACATTGGAACACAATGTAGTCCTGTCATAGCAGAAAGCAACACCAGGCAGAACTTAGCCAGGGCCCACAGAAGGAGCATTTACACCAGCCCTAGCAAGTGGGGACTAGCTTTATCCCAGCAGTTGGATCCTGAGTTCTGGCAAGACTCACCACTATAGACTACAGCACTCTGGGGTCCTAAGTACACTTGAAGGTAGTCTAGATACAAGGACTGCAAATCCTGGTGCTATGCTGTGCTTGGAGCCAGTGGACTTGGGCAAATGCCCTAGACATACATCATCTAGAGTGGCTAAGGGACAGCTTGCACCACCGATTCCCCAATCCCACGCAGCACAGCTCACAGCTCGGTGATAGACACCTTCCCTCTGCTTGAGGACAGGAGAGGGAAGATGAGGAGGACTTTATCTTGCCACTTGGAACTCAGCACAGCCATAGTAGAATAGGGAATCAGACAGAGTCCTGAGACTCCCATTTCAGGCCATGGCTCTTAGACAATAATTCTAAACACACCCTAGGCCAGAAAAGGAACCTTCTACCCTGAAGGGAGGAATCTGGTCCTGGCAGGATTCATTACCTGCCAACTAAAACACCCTAGGTACCTGAATAATCAGGAGCTGTAGCCAGGTGGTACTTGCCATGAGCTTTGGATGAGACCCAGAGACATCCTGGCTTCGTTGTAACCCAGCATATTCCCAGTCATGGCAAGAGGGAGAGACCCATTCTGCTTGAGAAACAGGAAAGAATGAAGAATTTTGTCTTGCAGCTTAGGTATCAGCTTGGCCACAGCAGGGTACAGCACCCAGAATTCTTGGGGTTCCTGATTCCATGCCTTGCCATTTGGACAGCATTTCTGGACCTTCTCTGGACCAGACGGGTGCATACTGTTTTGAAAAAAGAGCTCCAAGCTTGGCGGTATTCACCACGAGCTGACGAAAGAGCCCTTGGTCCTTGAATAAGCATTGACTGTAGGCAGGCAGTACGTACTATAAGCCTGGGGCAGTGGCGGCCATGGGGAGAAACACATCTTCTTGTGGAAAGGTGATGGAAAGACTTTGTCACATGGTTGAGGTGCCAGCTTGGCTACAGGAAAATAGAGCACCAGGTAGATTTCTAAAGTTTCTGACTTCAGGCCCCGGCTCCTGGATGGCATCTCTGGACCCACCAGCTATGAGGGAGAACTCACTATCCTGAAGGGAAGAACACAAGCCTGGCTGGCCTTACCACCTCTTGCTTATTGTGGAGCCTCAGGGAATTAAGTGAACATAGGTGGCAGCCAGTCAGTGGTTGACAGGCCTTGGGCAAGACCCAGTACTGTATTGGCTTCATGACTGACCCAGAACATTACCAGTGGTAGTCCGGAGACAGTGGTAATCACCTAGCCATGGCTCTGGACCTGGGCATCCCTGTGCTGTCAGGGTCCCAGGAAGACTCACTGTCTCCACA